ACGGGATTTTAACGGGTCAAACAGGAGATTTCTTTAGGCTCCCCAGATTTTACACTCAAATTCCTTCCCACAATATATCACTAACACCAGGAATCCGGTAGCCACCCCTATCACACATGTATGGGAACCAATAAGCAGATTTACCATTACAAGCAGATACTGCTGTCAAACTGCTGCAATTCTATCAAAGAAAGCCTGCAAATTCCACTGTTAATATCTTAAATTTTTCATCCGAAACAGCTTCATCGAAAAATGTAAACTTGCAACCTGCAGAAATAATCATGAGTCCTAAAATGACTTTGAATTGTTAGCTTTAAACCTTCCCACCTTTTTTCACTTGCATCTTCTTGAGCTTTCGCTTTTGGAATATCCTCCACAGCCACTCTTTCTTTCTTTGTGTCAGCCACAGCCTTGTTCAGCTCACCAAGTCGCTCCTTGAGATCTCCAAGTTTCCCATTTTGTTTCAAGCGGTTCTTCAAAGCCTGGCCATTCTGTAGAAGAACAAAATACCAAAATACTTGCTACTGCTTTTATTACATACATTTCAAGAGGCACACAAAAACTGCACACCTCTAAAAAAAAAGAACAACCTTATCCCTTGAAGTAGTGAAAGGGAATCTTTCTGACCTGAAACTTTTGAACCATGCGTCTCCAAATCTGTTTCCACAGACCTGGCATGTAAGAAGGAAAGGGTTACGTCACACACACTGCTCAATAATTAGACTAAAAGAGACCCCCCCCCAAATCAACACACTCAGACATTCAAAGAGTGTCCACATTCAGAGACATTCTTAGAGTGTCAAAATGCCCTGAAATGAGCATTTTTCAAAATGTCATAAAAAAAATTGTGTTCAACAGTTGTATAAAATGTCTAAACATTTTAGTAAATAGGGTAATAAAACGAACCAATCATAAAATAATGCTATTATCAATTGTAGAAGTTTAAATAAGTAGTCTACACTCATATTACCAAAGTTCAGTAGCATACCGTTTTTCTGATACTACAGGATTCAGAACATCCCTTTGCTGACCACAAAAATGAAAACAGCAGCGTTTCAAAGGAACTGCATTTTTGTGTACTTCTATATGAATCTTATGTTTGCTAGCTTGCGTTTTTGCTGGGGGGGAGGGAGGGGGGAGGGGGGAAGGAAGCAACAGCAAAACAACAACCATTTCAGACGTAGGCCTACATCATCCCCGGCGAACGGGTGTGACTTCCCGGAACAGGGCAATAAAAATCATTAAAAGATATGTACCTGATAACATTCTCAATTTGAAATGAAGAAAAAAGCACCCCACTTTAAAAAACGTTTAAAAAGCATAACAGTTTGACAGTTTACATTGCTGGCGCAACATCCTAAAGCTGAACTTTTGAGAAGGGATCAGAAGATGGGTTAAGAAAAACAGAAAAAACTCAACACATTGAGATGAAAAGGTGGAGGGAGCAATGTCCAGCACAGTGCATGGACTACTGTTTCTGAACTAATTTTGGTCTGGTAGTTAACTAGAAAGCCATTTTTCAACTCTACAGGAGAAACTGCTGAGACTTGTGTAAGTGAAAATAAATAATACTAAATGATAATAAATGAGCTAAATATCCCAGTCTTTAATCCTCCACATATGATAAAGTCAACATACCATTTTACTCAAAACCTTTAACTTTTGGGACAGATTTTCCAATTTTGGCGGCATTGGCTTTGGGGATGGTGGGGAGTCCTCTTCAAGTCTCTCAGGAGTCCGTGACAAGGGAGACAATGCACTCGGTGGAGGGACTATTGTTGAGACCAACGCTATGAGGCTGGACTTTCCATTCACAGCTTCAAATGTCTCTTTAATATTCTCATCCTCTGGGGAAACTGGGCTGGACTTTGTGATCACCTGTTGGAATTTAAGTCCATATAAGCAATGGAATTATACTTCATAATAATTTGCATTACTAAAACACAATAATTACTTATTTAGCTGACCACAGCTTCACTGCCACATTGTTACTTTTAAGACTTAAGTTACTATACTATGATTGGTGTGTACAGACAGAAAAAACAAAACAAATTTCAGTCCCACACATGACACGTGACACACCCTTATTAGACTAGAGGGACAGAGGCAGAAGACAAGACCAAAGAAACACATCATCATAAAGTGAAAAAAAAAAAAAGGCTCAGCAGGGGGGAGGGATTTCCCACCCAGCAATAGCGGGCATCTATAATATTATTTATGATGACCACATCCAAATCATGCCACGGGACACATTAAGCCTTTCACAACTCCCATTAGACTAAACTAGAGGGAAAAGAGACAGGAAGACAAGACCGAAGAAACACATCCAACATAAAGTGGAAAAAAAAAAAGGTGCAGCAGGGGGGAGGGATTTCCCATCCAGAAGTGGTGGGTCCATGTAATTATAAATCTGAACTGGACAAAATTACCACACCACAGCACTGTACTATATTATTAATGTGATGACCACACCCAAATCATGCCTTTTTTTTGGTAAGTGTTTTACAGTGCTCGCAACTGCATACAAGGTAATATGAGCATGCAGGACATATTAAACTTTTTCAGTTGGTAGGAAATTTTGAATTTTGCCCGGGTGGCGGCCGAAGCCCACTCTTTTCGAATTTGGACCACCAAGGGATCTTTAACCTGCGCAACTTGCAAATGGGCCCTCCGAGGTTTTTCGCCCTTGTCCCAGAAGACTAGGTGTAGATCTTTCCTATTTAGAAGATCAGGAGTGTGGCAGAAAGACAGCAATAGAATAGAAGGAGCCAAGGAGTGTAGTAGTAAAAGGCTGCAGGAAGAGTCAGCTCAGAGGAGGCATAGGAGGTGAGGGGGTGGGGGTAGAAAGAGAAGAAGAAAGCAGGTGAAAGGAGACTATTTTAGAGAAGAAAATTTTTCGGTCGCTACCCAGATTCGAACCTGAGACATTTGAATGAGAGGCCAACACCTAACCTCTAGGCCATGAGATCCCCCTAATCATGCATTTGTAATTTAATGAAAATTAATGGAATGAGAGTAAGATCTATTACACTATTATTATTATATCATTATTTATAGAAATCTTCAAAAGAATTTAAAAGTTCATTTTTCTCCCCCCCAAAATACCACTGCCCAGTCATTGTATTAATACGGTAGTTGAGGAGATGCTCCTGATGGAGTCTGTTAATTTTGATTTATAATCTTCCATAATTTTGATTTAAAAAGAAAGGTGAAGTGATAATCTCAATGTGTGTGTGTGTGTGTGTGTGTGGTGCATAGCGACTGTGTGCATGTGATTTACATCTTTTAAGAGGTCAAATGTAGCCTAGACGTCTAGAGGTGGAATTGGAAAAATGACCGATTATATTTCTCTGAACATTCAGGAAAATAAACTTGAACTCTAAATTTCTTCGAACAGTTTCCGTTCTCGAGACTTTTTGGTTACTTGAGAGATTTTCATTTTGCCATTCTGCAAGGACTGGGAGGAAGTACTTTTGCATCTATCTAATTCAATTTCTAGAGCTAAGTCTAGAGATTTTTAAACGAAGTGTATACAAGTATACAGAAAGACCCAGTAACCGGGAACAAAGTCACAAAGTTTACAGAGAGAGAGGGAGAGAGAGAGAGAGAGAGAGAGAGAAAAAGAGAGAGCAAGGGGAAGTGCTAGCAAAATGTATATATATATATATATGACCTTTGAATGAGAGGCCAACACCTTAACTTTAAAACCTCTAGGCCACGAGAGCCCCAGATCTAGATCAATGATTTATGTCTGTCTGTCTAGATCTAGGCCTGGGCCATAGATCTAGACTAGAAGAACCTACGTCTACCCTGAGCCAAGAGGGCGCTGAAACTTTCCGAAATCACAAAAGAGTTCCCCTACCGGGTCTGTATACTTTGTGACTTTGTTCCCGGGTCTGTATACACTTCACTCCCTTAGAGAAATTATCTAATACTAATAGGCCTACTAATTATTACTGATGATATTCCCCCCCCCCCCACCTCCCGCAAAAACAAGGAGGGTATCAGATCATTGTCCTCCTGTCCCCAGAGAAATACTCACATCAGTCGACTCTGCTAGAACTGGCTCCTTTACTTTTACCCTGGTGGATGTGCTTGACCTAGATTTTGTAGATGGTGACAGTTCCAGCTTCTTCTTTGCAGATTCAAACTGGCACCCTTGCTTTGCTTCATCTGAGAGTCTCCTGGGTGCAGTCTTTTTATGGCGTGTCTTTGGCCCATTAGTGTCATCATGATCCCAATTCATGATTCGCTTTCGTGGAGTACTCATTCCACTGATTGCACGATCATGATCATCTGCAACTGAAGTTATTTCCTCCATACATTTTGAGGTATTTTCAGAAGAAGAAGATGGCTTATCATCCTGTGTAAGCTTTATCTCCTCAAAGTTTGCAATGTCACAAGTGAGAAATTCATTCGGCTCATCGATAACTTGATGCTCAACACTACTACTAACAGCAAGTTCACGAGCACAGGTGGCATCATCTGAGACAGAAGTGTTAGCTTTACTGAGGACAAGATCTGTTAGCTTTCTTTGGGATTTATCACAAGCAGTGTTCCTAGTTGTCCGGGAACTAATCTTGCTTCTTGATGACACTGAGGGGGTCGATTTTTTGCTGCTTGTTCTGGATCGCGATGTCCTAGATTTACTAGATCTACTACTCGGTTGTCTCAACAAGACTTGTTTCTGAATATGTTTTACTTCTGAAGAAGGTGAGCTAGATCTGTTAGTGGTAAATTCATTAATATTAGATGCTGGAACTAGATCGAGAGAACTGTCGGCAACATCAGGCTTTACAATAGCACTTCCATCTAACGGTGATGCCAACATACGGGCAGCTTCATTCACATTGACACTGTCCAATACGGTTTTGCTGCTCCCGTCTTCATCCACGCGATCCGAGAAAAATGTCAGTGACTTGGATTTTGAAACCTGGGACCGCGTAGATTTACTATTCACACTATCAAGTTTTCGTCTTTTGGCTGGATGCACATCATCACTTTTCTTCTTCGCACAGAAGAAATCATTGACTCGGGCTTGAGCCATGGCCTATAGACTACTGTCCAATGCAGTTTCTGAATCTGAAGCGGATGGCGGGCGGGGGGGCAAGCCAAGCTTGAGACAAATAAATCTCTTCCCGCCAGAGATAGCTTTCTGTGATCTTGAAAAATATTTCAGAATAATCTCCCTTGCCAAAATGTAGCTACATGTATTTCGATGCTCTCGTCATAAAATACTATAATCTATGCGTGTGTACTATCAAAGACCCATTTGTAAAGGATCTTTGGTTCAATAAAATTCATATTACAGTAGGCATAGGTTGTCTTAGATCTAAGAACGCCTAGTTGGAGGACCTGTTAAAATTTAAGAAAGCCTTAACAAGACAAGGTCAAGGCCTATTCGACTATATACTATCCGGATACTATATATTCGAATAGTTTCAAAGGGCAGCCACTCTAACCGCTAACCTTTGTTTACTTCCTGATTCCGTAGTGCCGTAGTGTCCTTTGCCTTTTCGATGGCGATGGCAACCCAAGAGACAGAGACATCCAGTTACGTTGCCATAACGAATATCCCATTTAAGTTTCATACTGCTGATCTTCGTTCCTTTTTCTCATCATATGTAGAAAGTAACGGATTTATATGTTTCCACTTTCGACATAGACCAGAGAAAACGGAATCATCCCTCGAGAATGAAAATGAAAAGACGACAACAAGTAGATCTTGTGCGACAACTGACGAAGCTGGTGAACGGGTGAAACGTTGCTGTTGCGTCGCCAAAGTAAAGAACTCTCGTCTTCCTTCGTTCTTGAAAGCATACCACAACCAGAACTGGACAGACAGCAATGATGAATATCATGGTGATCTTTGTCACATATCTGTCATAAATACTAGATCTAATGACAGTTCTGGAACAGGTAAGATTATAACATCATATATATAGTACGCAGTGGCTATTTTTACGGCGAGCCGTAAAGATAGCCTCCCCCCAGGCTATTTGGTAAGATTGTACTTTACCGGACCACGGGTCGGAACTACTTTCGCTATGGCGCCCCTGGTGCCTAGTGGTCCGCTATTCTTCGTTTCCGAGCTCCCCTACTCACTCTCCTGGTCAGTTTTCTACGTCCTCACCCTTCGACTGCCAACAATCGACTGACGTCTCTTACCGGGTTTTTCAGTCATCACGACCATGCCTCTGTGCCCTTTGACCCATGACCCTGACACCTTCATGACCCTGACACCTTCATGACCCTGACACCTTGAGGCTAATTGGTCAATCTAATCACTCGCAGTCTAGCCGTACTTATTCTTAATATGATGGCTAGACTGACCATTTACCAAAAATAGGCCTACATTTTTAGTGTGCAGTACCTAAAGTCTAAAGTATTTGTATTTGAGACGAAACCAGGTGCCTTAATGACAGTGCATGTATTTTAAACCTCCTGTTAATAGGGCCTAAGATAAGTACGGCTAGGCTAAGTACGGCTAGACTTCTTGTCTAGCCGTACTTAAGGACGGCTAGACTGTCAGGCTAGCCGTACTTAATATTGATGGCTGAATTGTAAATGAAATTTTTAGTTTGCAATGCCTAAAGTATTTGTATTTTAGACAAAACCAAAAGGTGCCTTACTGACTTGCATGTATTTGAACCTGAATAATTACTAGATCTAGATCTAATGAGACCTGTGTACTTAACAGGCTTGAGTCGATAAGGCCAAACCTAGATCTAAGTATGGCTAGACTGGCAGTAGTACGGCTAGCCACTTCGATTTTTATTTGCTCGCGACTCTGCTGGCTTGGCTCACTCCCTGGTCCGGCAAAGTACAATGGAGGGCTAGAGATGCGTACGAGAGCTCATTTGCATAATTACAACCCCCTCAGCCCTGCTGGCGACTTGGCGAGTATCTACCCCGATTGTCCGCTCATGTTATTGTTTATATGTGTGTGTGTGTGTGTGTCTTTAAATTATTGTTGCCAGGGGGGCTAGCCCCCCTGAAACCCCCCCTCCCCTCACTGTTGTTACGTTATGTAAACACGACTGTCCGCTCATGTAATTAGTAATTGTTTCGCATTTGTGTGTTTTCTTTAATATTTCCAGGGGGGCAAGCCCCCCTAAACCCCCCCCCCCCTCCCCACTGTTAGTATAATACACGGTGGTCCACCAAAGTTAAATCCCCTGCTCACTCTCAACCACCACCTCTCGCTCACCTCGCCTCGCCAGTCGCTGCTGGCTTGCGCTGTGCGTGCGCGAAGTCGCCCGCGGAACTACCTTTTGTCCGCACGTAGAGTACTATGAGTGCGTAGTTAGGCTAGGCATGCGTAGTAATCACCGGCCGAGACGGGTGGTCCGGTAAAGTACAATCCAGCTGGCTATTTTTACAACGATCCTCGAAAAGCAACCCTACTCCGCCTCTCATGTACGCGGCATGCCTCAATGTATTAGTTTTAGGCCTATATGGGCCGTTCAAAATATAAACTTACACCTCAGAGGGGAAAGGGTGTCTTTGGCTTCTCTACTGTAAGAAAAGTGTAAGATTGGGTGGGGAGGTTAAAACCAAATATGAGACTTCTGTGAGATGAACGTTTTGCTCATGACTGGGAAGAAAAGGTTTTAAAAAGAAAAAGTGGATAAATGCCAGTAACAAGACCCAGATCTGCATGATCACTCTGCAGATCCCCGTTGCTTTGTTTTTTTGTTTTTTGGAGGGGTTTTTTTTGGGTGGTTGGGGGTTTACAAATAATTTTGAAATTATGATGAAAATTCTGTTGGTGGACATTTAATTTCTTATGTCTTAATGTTTCTTTGTAACTTTGCAACTGTTTTGTTGATCTTTTAATGTCTTGATGTCTTTTATTTGTAAGGCACGTACCTATTGCTGCATTGACAAAAGTGAGCACTGTTGTTTTTACCCTCGCTTGTTTGCTTTAGTTTTGTGGTCGAATGAGAAATGAAAACTTAATATCAATATAAATCAATGGACTACTCACTATTAAAAGACAACGCCAGAACAACTATCTGAACAACTATCTTTGTCTTTGTTTGGACTTTGACACGGGGAGACAGAAAGTCCTAGGTAAACGGTAGTCTCAACTCGAAAGAGTACAATTTAAGCGAAGGCGATACACCAAGCTGAAAGATGCACACTTGGGTTTTTTGTCTGAAAAAGAATGACCAGAAGATCACAGTTTGCAGGATATTGATATCTATGACCGGGCTCACCCATTGTAAACTGCTCTAGAAGTGCCCATGCCAGTTTCATCATCATCTGGCTCACCCGGAACGGACAAACACTTTCCACTATTCCCTACCCTGGGCTAACTTCTTCATTTTTTTCAAATGTTTTTCCACTTTTCTGTTCATCATTCTCTGCGACTTTTCTACAGGTTCCACATGGTCTTCCCTTGATCTTTTAAGCTGTTGACTCCAAATTAAAACTTTTTTGTTATGTAGCTGCCTGATTTCCAAATGGCATGCTCAGTCCAATCCATCTCCACTGTTTTCTTCTGTGTGAAAATTTTCTGGTCATGACTTCCTCATTGGTGACTCTGTCTGTCCATCTGATCCGGAGGAACTTCCTCAGGCACTTGTTGATGACAACCTGGATCCTCCAGAACTTTGTAAAGAGTGCTTTAGAAGAGTGCAGCCCAGCTGCACCACCAAACAATCCACAAGGGGCGTGCAAGCCAAGGAGTTTCTGCTCACATCTGTGGACATGCTTCTGATGGTTCCCACTCACTATTGCCAGCAAAGCTCTGGAAAACTGTATCTTGATCCCTGATTTTGTAATCTGTCGGATCTTGAAACCGCCTGCACTGGTCAGGAACAATCTGCCTTGTATGTCAGGCTACTCAAATATATGTGCAAGATGAAAAGAACATGTCGATCTATGAGTAAAAAAAAATTGGTGTGAATTGTGCGTGAGTTTTGAGTCTTGACAGCGTCAGCCAGACTAAGTGGGAATCTCACATGTCAGAAAAGAACATGACAAAGAAAGGGCACGCAATGGATAAAACCTTTGCTCTTAGGCAAGAAGACCTTGTGATGATTTGCCTGAATCTTCAGGGTGTACTTTTGTCATTGTCTATTAATTCATCCAGCTCTTGTTACAGAAACATGTACATAATCTTCAATGCAACCTCGTATGGTACCATCTTTTACTTATGAACAAAAGGCACAAGGTGGTTTGATTGCAAACGAATTCACAAGTTGTTTGATGGACTTTTTTTAACGTGCACAAATGCATAGAAGGTTAAGATAACAATATATTATTATACAGCTATGGGTGCTGTGTGTGTGTGTGTGTATGTGTATTGTGTGTGTTTGTGAGTGTGTGTGTGTGTGTGAGTGTGTGTGTATCAGCACAAAATTGCATCTATTTCTAATACCGTGGGTGCCTTTTCCACTAAAGCAAACACCGAAATTGAATACCAAATCTTATTAGAGGCCACACTCATATGCAAGTAGAAAATATGCACGGCGTCATTGAGCGGCGGCTTTCAATAAAAGACATTTTCAGAACTGCAATTTTTATAATTATATAAAAAAAGACCCTATAAAGTGAAATTTGTGGATCACATTTTCCTCCATGATTTTTACCAAAATTGCAGTTCACAAAACTGTCAGATCGGGTCGACAAAAAGAAGAGCAAACTGTTAATGCAGTATGAAGCCTCTGATATACATAAGGAGAAATTCTTTGCAGACGAAGAGTGGGAGAGTCTTCTAAAGTCCAGAGACTAGAAAAACTTAACAAACAGTTCCCCACCTCTGTATCATTCTTCTGATTAAAGGCAAAAAGTAATTTTCAGGATCTGAGAGACAAAAAGGGTAAGATTTTTATATTATGAAAGATGATCATTCAGTCCTTCAGGGGGTATAGAATTCTGACATAAATCAAGTTCTTAATCCATCCACCACCCCCTCCCCAAAGGAAATACACTTACTTACAATTGGAGAAAGAGGGATAGAAAGAGAGAAAGCTCGCAAATGAAGGAGTATGATTTCATAAATTACATACAATATCCCATTCATGTAAGAGTGAGAGATGTTTATAGTGGTACAATAATGAATAGCTTTCTGTCTCACTCAGTCTGTAATTTCATTCTCAGTTTTAAATTGGTCTTTTAATTAAAATCTTTCTTATAACAGTATTTCGTGCTTTCATATATTTTTAAACATACCAGGGCTTCAAAATAAGAGAAAACACAACGCCTAATAACCGTGAATACAACACCGCGTTCCCAAAAGCCTACTGGAGATTCGAATATGACAATCGTGAATCCCACACTTTTCAAAAAAATTACCATATACTGTAAAAAATGTACTACAGTATTATTTCTAAAAGGTAATTGAATAGATTTATCCATTTAGTTTATATTTTGGACGCCAAATGACGGAGAAAATCAGTTTTTTCCCTCTCCTGTAAAATTTGCTTCATGTGGAATTCACGATTTCATCAGGCGACCGACGATATACTAAATTTATAGAGTTTATTTGTTGTCATAGAGGGAAAGAATCAAATATAATTTAGTTTCACTGTATTTTTATTTCAGCCAGTGCACGCGTGCCTTGTATTTTCCGGCTTTTTTTCCAGTGCCTGTTTACATCCCTGTAACCCTAACCCTCACCCTAACCCTAACCCAGACCCTAACAATGGCCCCCAAATTTCCACCATCTATATTTGTCGTCTTCTGGGGCTTCCCTTGCCAGTTGACTAGATCTGACCGGAGACAATGTAGTACGTTTGTCTCTGATCTCACCATGGCGGGTCTGCTTTGCATGTGTATGTGTGTTTGTGTGTGTGTGTGTTTGTGTTTGTGTGTGTGCACACGCATGCGCTTGTTTTTGTGTGTACAACTTTGAGAAGGAGGTAAATTTATGGAACGAGAATTGCCGCAATTTTTGGCATTTTTTGGTCACCAATCGTGGCCGTGATTTTTGCATTTTTCCAAAAAATACCCCCCCCCCCCTAAAAACCCTCAACAACCAACAACAATACTGCCGGGGAATAAAAGTCAACTAAAAAAAAAGTAACCGAACCTCTTTACTTTTAGAAAGAAAGTTTATTTTCACTTTAGCTTCACTTCTTCTCTTTCTCACTTGTTTACATCTCGTTGATTTGTTATTTTCATGTGAAGAATATAAATAAGTACATTACATACTATTTGTATTGCTGTTCCTCTTTTATTTTTCCCTCTTTGTTGTATTTTAATTTGTTAGTGTGTTCATTTTTTTTCTTGTTTTTGTTCTGTTGTTTTTCTATTACTTTTTTGTTGTTGTTGTTTGTTTATATTATATTTATATAGCGTAATGTCATTTAATTTGATGTTGCTCCTACCTTATATATATATATATATATATATATATATATATATATATATAAATATATATATATATATATATAAATATATATATATATATATAAATATATATATGTGCGTGTGTGTATGTGTGTGTGTGTGTGTTATGGGGGCTCTCGTGGCCTAGGAGTTAAGGTGTTGGCCTCTCTTTCAAAGATCTCGGGTTCGAATCCGGGTAGTGACCCAAGAATTTTCTTCTCTAAAATTGTCTCCTTTCACCTACTTCCTGCTCTCTAGCAATGTTCTTTCGTCTGCTTTCGTCTCCTCTTTCTACCCCCTCCCCCTTACCTCCTTTGCCCCCTTCTCTGGGCTCCTGACTCTTTCTGCAGTCTTTTTACTGCTACTCCTTGGCTCCTTCTTACTGCTGTCTTTCAGCCACACCCCTGGTCTTCTGGTAGGAAAGATCTACACCTAGCCTTCTCGGACAAGGGCGAAAAATCTCCGAGGGCTCTTGTGCACATTGCACCCATTAAAGATCCCTTTGTGGTCTAAAATCGATAAGAGTAGGCTTCGGCCGCCACCCGGGTAAAATTAAAAAATTTCCTGCAAACTGAAAATATTAGTGTGTGTCCCGCGCGCTCATATGACCTTACGCAGTTGTGAGCGCCGTAAAACACTTACCAAAAAAAAAAGTTAATAAATGTGTTATGTTAGAGTGTGTCTCTACCAAAACCAATAACTGACACTGGCAGGCCCCTTGTGTGTGACTCCAAAACTTACATGTAATATCCTGTACTTTTTCTTGAAATACACACGTTTAGGGTTGAAACATCCAGTCTTCAGTTAGGTGGACACACGCCCTTATTTGCTAATTTTTGTTGTTGTTTATGTGCTATTCTAATTTTGATTTCATTCTGTTGTGAAACCTTTCTTTTTCACGTTTTTACACTCTGTGTGGCTACAAATGATACTCTGGATGTTTAAAACAGAGCACAAGAAATTCTGGTACTTTAGATTAAGTTACCTCTATCAACATATTGTCATATATATACGTCGTCACATAGAGTTGAAAGCTTGAAAATTAATGGCAACTTTTATGGCAACTTTTGTCGTTTTTGTGTCAACTTTTGGGAAAAGAAATGGCAACAAACGCAGATGCTAGATAAGTTTAGGTGGAGAACTCAGATGAAAATGCAAAAACAAACTCGTCAGCGAATATACACCTCACAGTCACAGTGTACTTTTTCATCTGGTCATCGGGATTAACAACGGACATGTGATCACATTTCCAGGGAGTGACTTATCTGAGATGCATGGGACAGTTCAATGATGGCAAATTTTCACTCTTGGTTGATCTGTGCTTGCCTGCTTTTTTGTCTCGTGAATTATTACAGTGGAGTCCACTTATAACGAGTCCGGAAAAAACGAGAAGTCTGTTATAAAGACACTGTTCTAAAACCCCGTTTTTTTCTCCTCTTTACCTTTGTAAATAAAATACTGCTATTGCGCTATCAGACAAACATGCGAGTCGGTTATAGCGAAAATTGCTGTTGCTGTGCACAATGAATTGGCCTATTATACATAATGCAAAACCTCGGCAGTTGAGAAACGTGTTGGTGATCTAGCGAAACAAAGAATAGGAGAGCCCATGTGCGTCAACAATGAAGGCCGGAGCGACTGAGTAGGGAGGGTGTGGCATGCGCAGACAAGCAGAACGCATTGCATGATAAGCCAGCGTAAGCCTAGTTAAGATTATCGAGGCCTACCATGCCTCTCACTTCTCCAATACGGGGATGGATAGGTCGCAGCAATGTGATGGAAGGAGCGAATGTGTGATGTGCGCGAGCAGACGGAATGCACCTCAGGGTGGGATGGGTTGGGGAAAAACACAGCGAGCGAGTTAGCCCAGAGCCCTTTCTTTCTGATCGCCAAAGCCAAGCTGCCAGTCCACTTCGCTAGATCTAGCGCTAGAGAAATAAACCTGATTCGAATTTTGATCAAGTAAGACCTAGAGGTCAAGTTGAAACAAAATCAGCATCAGGGGAGATAGCAAAAGGAAATAAACAGAACACCAAACTCATAGATTGGGCCTACTTTACAGTTTTCCTTGAATTTATTACTGGATCCCTTATAGCGAGAATCCTGCTATAATGGACATTTTGCTCCGGTCCCCACCCTCTCGTTATAACAGGATTCCACTGTATCTGAAATGTGGGATCTTACCCGAATGTAGACCTTCAGAACGGGATCTTAGAGGGGACTTTTGTGTAGTAAAAATTCTTTTGTCTAAAAATGTTTTATTATTTTATTTTTGTTTCCAGATACGTCTGGTCATGTGGATGAAAAAACCTTGGAGTCTATGCCTGAGCTACGTCCTGTTGAGTTGATGCCCCAAGGAAATGTCGGAACTCCCACTCTGGTGTTCCTTGACCTCATCCAGCGATGTCTTCTTCCTCACAGTCTCATTCACAAACTTAAACTGAAATTTCCCAAAACATCAGGAAAGCTGTTGTACAGTAACGTACCTTTTGAGTATCATACACCAAAAGACTCTGATTTTGCTGCAAACACACCTAACCTTGAATCAGGTGCTGGGGTTGTGAAAAGTTTTCCGTCATTAACACAAGAGAGGAATGTAAAGACCAAGTGCTTGAGAAAATCTGATGCCTTTGGAAAAATTCAGGCTTTCGAGTTGTCTGAATCTTCCACATTGTTGTCTGATGATTGTAATGAACAAACTCCGAATGTGATAAATGATAGCTCAATAGCCATAGAGACGTCCAGTGACCAGTCTACCTTTCAAGATGCTCAAATGGATATGATTCCTCATCCATATAAAGCAGAGGAAAGCCAAAACACAGATATGGATGGTTTAAACACAGAAGACAAATCTGTCCAGATTGAAGCATCTGTTTCAAATGCTAACAATCAAAGTGGATTTTTAGCCCCTCAAGTTCCTCTCACGAATCGGGAAAGAAAACGGAAAAAGCGATATGAAAATCGTTCGACAAGAAAGCTGATGGCTGAAGGAATTGAAGAAAGGCTGATTGCTATAGACAAGATATACAGAGTGAGAAAATACATTCTATTTAGTCATAAGCTTATGGTTTTCATTCGTTGACCTCTAAAATTTTTGAATATCGGTGTCTTTGTTGTAATGCTAAATCTTGTCAACCTTTATTACTTCATTTTCAGCTTCTGTTAAAGACATGAGTTCTGTTCCCACTTTTTAACCCTATCCGTACGCCCCGGGGTCATTATTGTACCCCCGGGGTTGTATTCTTCACACTTTAGAATACTTCTAGTGCGAAGCTCTCTTTGAAACTTTCAGTATTTCTCAAAAAATCATTTTGACAGACTGCTATGCAAAGGGTACGGATCGGATTACCGAGTAAATTTCCTCTTTGGAAAGTGGTGGCACAGAGTTTCCCACATCATATGGATACGATAGTAGAACACGACGTACGGATAGGGTTAATTGTCAAGTTTCTCCCTCTTTTTGCTGGGATGTGGCTAATGCAGATCAGGGTCGAAGCAGCCGACTCCTGAATGATTTGATTGTTTTATTAGGGATGTAAGGCTTTTACAATAAATTTCAAATACAAATTTTTTTACTACAGCAACTGATAATGTAAAAAAATGGCCATGCCATCTAATGTTGTGAGTTTGACTTGATTCCTTCAATATTTTTCTTTTGTGGACTTTTTGCTTCTTTCAATCTTTTTTGTTTAGAGCACATTACATGAAGATTTTCTCTGCTCAACCTTTGCAATGACCTTCCAGTATAGTTTTAAACTAGTTTATAGAAGTCTCAACTCGTGTTAGTATTTATGCCCCATTTTGCTTTATAATGACAAGAAAGGCTTTAGCATTTTGCATTTATGCAGGAGGGTTTGTGCAGGACATGAAAATGTGTTCACTCCATGTTCAGAAGTTTTGCACCCTTCACAAGACTGACAAGAGAAAAAACTTTAAAAAAACAAATTTGATTTCTCTCACCCAGAAGCACATTTCAAGAAACTCTCTTCCACACATTACAACTATTGCAGTTTCATTAGTGTAAGAAGCAGTGGGTGTTTTACCATATTCCTTTGTTTTTTTATGTATTTTCCCGTTCTTGCCTTTCCTGGCCTTTTCTTGTGTAAGGTTATATGATGCCATAGACAAAACAGTACAAAAGAACCTGTACGTGGGATTTTGCTAAAGCCTAATATGTTTTTGATGAGTAATTTTTCTCGTTAACTCATTGGGACTGCAAACTCTGATTCTCGTTTTACATGGCAGGATGCTGTATTTTGAGTTTGAAGTGCTTTCCACCAGTTCTGCTAAGGTCCCGAATAAAGATAGAGAAGTAATTAAATTTTCTATATGTGTTCTATAACACACATGCTAACATGAACCAAAAAAAACAACTATCACTCTATCACCAGCGACCATTTTTCTGTTTAGGTATATATATATGATAATGCACATTTTTTGGAGTTTTTTTTATACTACTAGAATGCATAGAGTTTAATTTACTTCTGATAAATAGGCTATGGAAAACTAACTCAAAAATAGTTTATTTCAAATTTTGCGTAATCAAAAAGGCAAGACTGGTTTAGAAATGGTTGAACCTAGTTAATATAAAAGACAAACTTTCATATTTTTATAGCCATCTTGAAAAAATGGTAAATATTGACAGTCATGTATATATGGCCAACATGTTCTCAATGAATAAAAGCTGTTAGTGTCATTTCTTATAAACTTTACCATATTTTTGCAGTTGCATGCATCTTGAGCCCATTGAACAATTCCCGATCTTTTTTCTAGAACGATGACGACGCAGAGGAGTGGGACCGCCACGAGGCCAGTGAGGACGACCCAAGCAACCAGGAACGCAACAAGGAGCGTCTGTATGAGGAGGAGATAGAGCAGCCGTGGGAAAAGGGAGGCCCAGGTGTTGTGTTCTACACTGATGCCATGTTCTGGCAGGAGAGGGAAGGAGGTGAGTCTGTACCTGATCTTGTTTGTACTTGATGTGGCCATTTCATTGCTGCATTCAGCTTGAGATTAGTTGTGAAATGTATTTCTATTTGTTTTTTGTTTTTTTTGTGTTACTTTATTTCATTTATTGTCTTTTGTCTCTTCTGGTGAAGGGTTCACCTGACCTCACAATATCCATTTCGCTATAGCTTTTACATGGGGGTGAGGGGGTAGGGGGGGAGGGCTATATAAATCTAAGTTAAAGACTTCCATTCTAAGTCGAAATTGTGTGGTTAAAAAAAATAGTTTAAAATAATTCAGGGTTTATTGTAATTAAAATCTCCAGGAAAATTTTTTTATAGGCTTAAAGCAATTAATTATCATGTATGTACGTCAAAAGATCTACATTTCAGGCATTTTTTAAGATCAGCATTCCATTCTTTGAGAAGACAATTTCAAAAACTGATCCATCTCATTGTGTTTATGAAGAATCCATAATGTGGATGCATGTTTTTTTAAAAATTGATGGAGGTACCTCAAAGTCACATATTTTCACGATGGCCCTTTTGATTTAAAAACAGTTTCAAATTACTTACCAGAAAATCTGAGCACAGTGGTGAAATTATTGTGAAACATTAAGAATGAAAAGTTGATGTATTTATTTAAAGTAAGTTTCTACCCGAGGGCCTGCAGAACTCAGTATCATGTTGGGCTATCGTGTGGAAGACCCTGGTTGGAATTCCATTTATAAAGTGCTTTCTTGAACTTGAGGTTTTTTTAAAGACTTTTCAACACAGCACCTACTTTTCTTTGTCCTTAGGGAGTTCAATATTAAATTGTGAGATCCCATTTCTTAAATAGGCTTATAGTGTAAAGAGAAATGTTGAACGCATACAATTACCAATTACCATGGTATTACCTGTGACTCATTAGGACTCTATAACTTTGCCTCTGGGTGACGTATAGCTTTACAGTCTGCAAGGTGCCTTCCACTATCATTCATAATCACTCTCTAACAATTGAAGAACACCCTTTTGCAGCTGGGTGAACCACAAAAAATAGAGTTAGGTACCTTTCCTAAGTAAGGATACAATGTCCAACTTGACAAAGTTTGGAATCAAAGACACATTTTATATTGCAAACCTTGCTGCTCAACTGGGATGTCACTAAGTTTACCATAAATAAATGTTTGGCATGTGGATAAAAAAATAATAATGTAAATTGTTGTTAGACAAACTGGATTGGGAAAGGATAATTTGTTTTGAATACCATACCAGTTTGAAAATGTATAATATATTCGGATGTTTTTTATTTCAGAGATTTGGAAAGGAAAGTAAAAGGTACTGCAAAAGTAATTTTTGTTTGTCCCAAAGACAATTGATGAGAGCTTTTCCATAATTCCTTTTAACTTGATAACCAAAATTTCAATTTTGATGGCAGTTTTATTTATTGTTTGAGTGCCCTTTTTCCTTTGAAAAGTGAATTATATGTAACCGTTCCCATTTTCCTGGTTTCAGATTTTGATGAGCAGACAACAGACGACCTTGATGTTGACTTCAGTGCCTATGAAGAACAAGGGGCCGGGGATAAAGATATCAAAGACTTCCTTAAGATCAGACAGGAAACTCGGTATGCATTCAAAATGTCTTTTGAAAAGATTTAAATATTTAATTTTAGAGAAAGCTCATAGTTTTTCTTGTCCTTCAACAAGATCAGATCATTTTAAAGAGTAGCAAGCAGTATCTGTCTTATTATAACTGAAATGGTCATTATATTGAACTGTATTTCTGTGTATTTCTTTTTGTTAAATATTGAATATATTGAAAGATGTTTGGGAGAAGTTTTTATGTGATCTGAAATCATAATAAAATATGATTAAAAATGTAACACCAAGGTACATTTTTTTGGTGTGAACTTTAGTATTTTTTCTAACTATGCTCACAATGATTTTTTCCCTTTTTGGCAATAGGCATGTTACTTATTGAGTTCGAAATGGAGTTATATATTTGAGAATCATCACTCATATATATATATTGAAATCTGAAACTAATTTATCACTCAGCTCTTCTGTTTATATCGAGTATCAGACCGGGCATAATGATGCATATTGGAACTTATGTTTTGTTATTTCACCTCTATCACAGGGGGTCATTAGTGCAAGGGCAAAGCTTGAAAAGTGGCAAGCTTTATAAAAAACAGATTATATCAATGCTTTGTGGACTATTGCCTTTTATGCTTCCCTTTTTTTATAAAAAGACATTGTTGCTCATTTGGCACAACGTGGGCTTGTTGTGTGCTGCTGTGTTGGCTTTATGGATTTTTGGGTTGTTGGGTTTTTTTTCTTCACAATTTTAGTCCTTGTTTTTGAACAAGGTATTACGAGAGTATTACAGAATTGGAGACTGATTGTAAGGAGACTGGAAAATTATTATTTTTCTTTTGACCCAGAATATTTATGCTCTTTCTTTTCTGAATGTTTCATCTTGTTATTCCCCTCATTTTTATTTAGTGCTGTGTTAGGGTTGTTTGGGGGGGGGGGGGGGATTAGGGTGGGGGTTAAAGTAGAGAAAGAAAATCATTCTGGTGTTGTTGGAGGAAAGCTGCAGCTCAAGTTTTTAATCAGATTTTCATCGTCAGACATGATATTGTTATAGTTGCAAATGTTGTCTGTCTTTACAGATTTCGAAATGGATACGACAGCACTGATCGATTTTCCATTGGCATTGGAAAGAAAATCGATAAACCATCGTCATCCATCAGCTCTGCAGGGAATGAGGTGTCAGCATCACAGCATGGAAGAGGCAGCAAATTAGTTTCATCTGGGGCAGCAATCGGAGCCTTTGAAAGACACACGAAGGGAATCGGCCGCAAAGTTATGGAGAAGCAGGGTTGGCGGGAAGGTCAAGGCCTTGGTAGCTCTAAGCCTGGAATCACCGAGGCTCTCAGAGGGGAAGGTCAAAGACCTCACGATAAGCAAGGGTTAGGGTGAGTAGCTTTTGCCCTGCACTGTCTTGATCTGGTTTATAATTAGGTGTTATTCCATTTTGTTAATGTACCCTTGGAGACAGAAATGGAGCATGTAACTTTGTTAGGCTACCTTAGTGAGCACCAGTAAGCATACTCATGACTCATATTTATTATACCAACGGTGTCCTCTATAAGACTAGCAAAAAAAATACTCTCCTGGAAATAACAAAAGCTTCCAATTTTCAGTAAATCAACCAGCTCTTTCCAAACTTTTAACCAAATCGAAGAGGAATTAAATAGATACCTTTTTTTCTAATGCAAACATTAGTTGGAACTGCAATTGTTCCAAGCACTGTATTCAAATGGAATCCTTTTACTGTATAATAGTTATAGATCAATTTATCGTTATGCAGCGTGCTGTTTGTGTTCCTGTCTCGCCTACAGATGGAAGAATTTGAATGTCCTCACACCTCTCTGTCATTGTGTTGTGAATTTTAGGTACTTTTCCCCCAATGATTGAAAGGTCTTTTTAGCTTATTCATGCCAGTATGGACTGATTTCCATCTATCTTGAGTGCCTTTTCTTTCCCTTAAAGGTAGTTTTTTTATTTAATCATTAAAGATACACAAAATGTTTGGGACTTTAGAACAAATTCTTTTCATTTGATGATTGAAATTTCTCTTCTTAATACTCTTTAAAAAAACTCTTCATGAATACAATTTTTTTTAAAGGATTTGTTTTCTTGAACATTTATGGAAGTCTCTAAAGTAAGATATGTTGTCCTCTATGTACTTTCTCCCCTCCTCAAAATAAAAAAATGACATTTATATCTTATTGTAATGCTGTGTACTGCTCTGTAGATTTGGTCATGGAGAAAGTTGTAAGTCATGTAGTGTCAGTGAAAGAAAGGTAGGGAACTGGTATCAAATTTTCTTCTGCTCCTAGTCAATTTGGTGAATGAGTAAAAACACCAGAAAAAACAACTTACAGAAATTGTTCTTACTGTATTTTGACATAATGAATTGCTCATACATACTGCTTTTTGTTTTTAAATACTGTACTTCATTTAAACTGGCTGAGGATATGAGTTTATTTCACAATAGTAGTTGTTTTATGTGTTTTCATTTCTTGCTGAAAAAAAATACTTTTCAAGGCTGTGATAACCTTTTTTGTATTTTACTTGCGGTTGTTTCAGATTTGTGGCAGAAAAACCAGTGTGGTATGGAGTCCCGCCCGCTAAGAAATCAAGGGGAAAATCCAAGCAAAGTCATCTGATCACAACAGTGTACGACGACCCACGTGAAGCCGACCCGAAGGAGCCGCTGTTGCTGCGCAGTGAGCCGACCACCCTGAAACACAGACAGACACACAAGGATAGTTTTAATAAAAGATGATCATGGTTTAATGATTGGCTCGTTCTTTTTGTACTTTTGTTTCTGGTTTGTTTGTTTTTTCGGATAGGGTTAAAACCTGTCTCAGTACGCTTGTGTTTCGCTGGTTGTTTTTGTCATTTAATTTTTTTTTTTAGAGCATGATAGATCCTACTCTAGTTGTTTTTTATTTCTGACTTGAAGCCAGAAGGTTTCTATTACTGCTGCAACTGAATGCAGTTGTACTCTGTAAGGATAATCAACAGAGAACTTAATCACATTTCTATTGACTGAATCAAAAGAGCTGTAGTAAGCACACTAGAGTTTGTGGAAGAAATCTATAGAGTAGAATCTAATCGTACGCATGTACAAGTACTCCCTTTTCATAACACATAATTATGTATAAAGTCAAAGTGTGGAATTTTTTAACCCTCTCCGTATGTTGTGTTTTACTATCATATCCATACGACGTGGGGAACTCTGTTCTGTGCCATCCCTTTCCAAAGAGGAAATTTACCGTTAATCTGATCCGTACGCTTTGCGTAGCAGTCTGCCAAAATGATTTTTTGAGAAATACTGAAAGTTTCAAAGTTATTTTCTCACTAGAAGTATTCTAAAATGTGAAGAATACAACCTTGGGGGTACAAAATGACCCCAGGGCATACGGAGTGGGTTAAAGACTTGAAATGTTTTGGAAGAAAAAATTTCTCTCCATAGTGTTTTCTTTCTGTTTCTGTTTAGTTAAGACCCAGCAACTGTGGAATTGTCTTGTACTCAGTGACCTCTTTACGTTGTAGTCTTTGGCTTGAAATTGAAGGCTTGGGGGAATATTGCAAGAGTATTTTATTACGGCGCACTGGGTACAGCTACTTGACCCAAGTGTTCATGTTTTAATAATAGTGATAATTGGGATGGTAGGCCCTATTGTGTATCCTTGCTCTACAGCATGCTCTGTGCGCTTTACAACTATTAAAAGCAAAAGGGTTCAATCTTTCCAAGCAAATGGAAATCCTGAAACCTTTATTGAAGCTAAGAAATTGTGGTATTTGTTACCTATCTTCTCGTTTGAAGGCCAACACTCGATGCACTGTCTCCACCCCAACAACACATAATGTATTAGTATTATGTCCAATTGGCTGTGTGTCTCTGTGCAGGAAAAATTCTTAAAGATGAGGATTATGCAAATGCAGTGTTAATGGGCTTTTAAAAAATTAGTGGGGTTGGGGGGGGGGGGAGGGCTGGAGAGCAAAAGTTGCTCTGTACTAACACAATCAGAGGTCTGGTGCACTTCTGTGCCAACCATGTGGTAAAAGTGATGGTTTCAGCCAATGTTATTTACAAAAGATGGATATTAATTTGATGGGGTCTAATGAATACATAATATGATACACATTTTGTAATGATAAAATATCGACAGAGATGTGTAGATACCCCAGAAATGTTGGAAGACTGCCCTGAGTTTGAATCCCCAAGGAAATAGGATAAGAAAAAATCGCATATTGTTTGGTTACAGAGAAAACTCTCCTTGTCTTTGAAAGAAACTGAACAAGGGGCAAAAACTTTACCTTCTATTTTTGTGGGATAGCCTTCTTGTGCTTAAAAGCGACCAATTGATAATATCAATATTTAATACTAAAGTAAGAATAATCTGTCTGACATTACACATACATGTACGAGGACATACAAGTACGAAACCAACCTATCTAATCAATACAAGAATGCTTACTGCTTACTGATCCCATAGGAGGATCGTAGGGATGCTGTGTGATAGAGAGCCTTGTCAGAAGTCTCCACTTTTCCCGTGTTTTTGCGAGCCCCTGAGTTTGGACGAAGGGTTTCCCTGTCCATTCCGCAATGTTGTCGGTCCACCTCTTTCTTTGCCTTCCTCTTTTTCTCCTCCCCTGCACAGTTCCCTGAAGAATGGTCTTGGATAGGCCACACGATCTTGTTGTTACATGACCATACCAATTCATTTTTCTTCGCTTCACAGAGTAGATCTAGACAGCAAGTCTAAAGTGACGCATGTGTTGTTTCACTCTACTGCGCACTTCCTCATTTGTCTGTCCCCGTGGTTTTATTCCCCAACAAATTTCTAAAATTTTGCAAACTGAGCCAACAAATGTGAAATTATGCGATTCTGTTAACTTTAACAAAGAATTATACAAAAAATAATCAGAAATTATTCAAAAAATTATCTATTTTTGCTAAATTATGCTGGGTGCATAAAACCCCGGGGACAGATTGTGGCAGATTGCGTGGTCACCATGCAAGAATAGCAAATTTTAAAATGATCTATTCTTGCAGACCCCTTTATTTTGTAAAACAACATAGTGTAAAACAAACAAACAAAAGTGCTCCTCAAACAGAGAGAACCCTCCAACCCACCTTGTCCAACAGCTACCTTCGCTGTGCAAAGATGATGTCGTCAGCATTAAAAAGTTGTACCACTTCCAATTTCCATCAAACCTGAGAGGGGGAATAGACACCGGCGTGATCGGGACCAACAAGTTAGTAGCGGCTATTGTAGATGGTAATTCTTAAAAGGTACCGTACTCCCTAAAACGTTAACAATCTGTTATGAATACCGTATATTAATTGGTCTATATTATTCGCTCTTGGTTTTTAAAGAATAAAGAGATGTATTCTAGATCTAGATCTACCTCACCAATAATCACAAGATTTTTCTAGATCTAGATCTAGATTTAGATATATTTAGAAGGCCCGTTCTGTTCGAAGACGGAGCTTGGCATCCCCCACCCTCCAAACAAATAAAACAAACCAATCCGGACTATGAGCGGGAAAAGGCAAAATGCTTCAGGAAGAGGCAGAAAAATTCCTCTGAGATTAGAACTTAATAGAACCAGAGAGAAAACCCTTGACTCTCGACGTCCCCGAGCTGGCCAAGTTCATCAGTTGGACAAGACAACCGTGACAACAAAAAGGCATAATCACTGCTGCTACCGTCATAAAGCAGCAGCCAGCTCGATGTAAGCTATGAGATAAAGGCTTGTATCTAGGGCTAAAACAGCACCTGGACATGGATGGCTGGTGCCTCTATAAATAATTCATTGATGGTCAAGACTTTTATCTGGATGATTCAAATTCGAGAACTTCTCCAAAGGGAGACACAGTCATTTGAGGTATTTTGTCTTTGAAACGCGTTACAAATCATGTACAATGTTCGATTTCATGGAAAAACTAAAACTGGATTTTGAGAACAAAACCCCCAATTTCAGCAAATCAGAACGATCTATAGAAAAGTGGATAGCTTTTTTTTTTATGTACGAGGTCTTTCTCAGAATAAGTTTCCCTGTCGTGCTGTCCTCACGAGTAATTATAGATTACCTTGTATTTGGTATCAACAGAAATAGAAAGCTTATATTCAAATACATATTCAACGTAGGAACTATCAAGTTCAAGACATTTCTCCATTTAATGTACCCAGCGGTCAAAGACAGTGGTCAGTGATCGTTTTTCCAAGGTCCTGAGTGCTTTTCTCATAGTCTCTTGAATCTGGTCCTTGTTCTCAAATCGCCGACCTTGCAGAATTTCTTTCACCTCTGGGGAAGAGGTGGAAGTTGCCTACGGCGAGATCAGGCGAACAGGGCTGGCGTTTCACTAATTCCCACGAGTAGCCCTCGAGAAGCTCGTTAACAGCTCTGTACTCGTGAACAGGCGCGTTGTCATGATGCAGGATGATGCCTTCTTCAAGCAATGGGGGTCTTTTTTTTTTACTGATCGCAGGTCTCAGCTTGTCTTTGAGGACGAACCTAGTAGTCACCATCGACAGTTACGCCAGGTGTGTCTAGCAGCTCAACATGATGCCACTCATGTCGAAAAAACCCCCCAATGTGCATTACCTTTCTCTCCCCGTGTTTTCTGTTTGCGCTTGTTCTTTCCTGCCAGACCTCCCACCTTCAACTTCTTCCCTGATCCATTTCCTTACTGTTTGAATTGATGGGGCATTATTCCCTATTACTTTGTATAGATAACCATGGGTTTCTACTGCAGACTTGTCGAGAAGAGTTGAAAATTTGTTCACAATTCGAACATCGTGGCATGAGAAGGTTGCGCCAATGTTTTGGTCAGCCATTTTCCTTGAATTTTCAGTGGACAAAGTGCACAAGAACACCACACTTGACATATCACAGCTCTATGACCCGTTCACAGATGCACTTCCAATTTGGCGTTGATATTTCTTAGACATGGTGTCATGACGTCACAAAATTTAGTGGCTTTTTGTTGTGTACTTTTGATTTTATGGAGGAAGGAAACTTAATTCCGAGACAGACCTCGTAGAATCACAATTTCTTTTTCCTCACTGTGCAAGCTGTACTAGAGATGAGCTTTATATAATCAAAGTTAAAAGACTAGCCTATAGTACATGTAGCCTATTTGTACTACAAGCACAAGAGGAATCTTTCCTCTATTAACAAAGATACGTTGTCATCAGCGCAGTGGCGACGTAGATATCTATGCACGTTATAAATCTAGATGTACAGCGTTTGGTCCTTCTGACAAAATTGACGCACAGTAGGCCTACGTGTATTTTGAATGCTTCCGAAGAAAAAAAATTAAAGAGCTTAGGCTTGACCGTTAAAACATTCCATAGAATTACTATGTTTTTTCAGGCTGGCACTATGTCCAATCTCCCTTTCCATCGGCCTGCTGAATGGGAGTTGTTTCGCAATGAATCTGTGACGTCAAAGAGGCAGAGAGAGGCTCTGCAAGAGTCCAAAGCACGGGCGGACGCCATGAGAAGAGGCGGTGACGGTCTGGCGTGGTCCGAGCAGCGTTGGGTGGACCAAGTAGTACCGGCAGAGATGGTCAACCCAGATGATTTTGATACATTTAATTACAGGTTAATACCACAGTGACTGAAACATGACTCTGTAACGCTATACTTAACTTTCTTTATTCTAAGGCGCAGAGTTTTATAAAGAAACCGTTACCATGACCTGTGCTGATAATTCGAATGAGATAAGTTTCGAATCTACGTATCCGGACTCCACTCAGCAATTTTTTGTATGCTCCGAAGACGGTTGACAACAGACTATGTTCAATTCATTCGTCATCGATAATAATATTACGATCCATGGTCATTTCACCCAGGAAAATTTTAATGAGCTCGAAAGCTCCAAGTCCACGCCAGCTCCATCACTTGCATAAATGTGGTTACTCAAGGAAACGTTTCAATTGGTCCGTCTCTTTGTGTGTGTGTGTGTGTGTGTGTGTGTGTGTGTGTGTGTGTGTGTGTGTGTGTGTGTGTTTGTGTGTGTGTGTTTTGTCGCCCACTAACTATCCTTGGGGTACAATTTTGACTTGCTGAGCGAAGCTTCGAATCCGAGTAAGTGTCAGTAAATATTTTTCTCATTCACCCTGGAATGTTCGCTCTCAGCCTGATATCATGACGGGAGAGCAAGTGACCCACTTTCGAAATGACCGTCTTATGTCTTATGTTCAGATAAGACCATGCTTATTATGTTTTAAACGTGAGGGCAGAAGTTGACATTTAGCCTAAGAAGTGGTTATACCTTGAGCCAGAAACACGATGAGCACAGAACAGCGAGCACTTCCAGTAGAAGCCTTGGCTCTCGCGTATTGATTAATTTCCATCTGTATGTGTGTAGACACATGAAAAGGCCGAGTATGCGCCGTGTGTAGAAAACAGTAAACAGTTTGGTGATAAGAATCATTAGAGAGCAATCACGTGTTAAATAAATTATACTATTTTTCTTATTTACGTAAACTATGCGCATGTACAGAGGCTCACTCGCAGACACGTGCACGCGCGCGCGCGCACACACACACACACACTTCACACTCACTCACACTCGTGCTCATGAACGCGCAACCAATAATTTCTGCACACTGCGCACTCACACCTACTCTTGTTTCATAATTATATTGTTATTCTTTCCTACTTTGACGTTGATAACTTATCAGTGCAGAGTCCCAACCCACACTGTGATTTTGTATCTTTGTTGTGATTTTATTTTAGGG